ACGCGAACATCTGGATACGATAGTTCCTATCGTCAGCCACATATAAGTTGCCTTGGTCATCAAATGCCAAATCGAATCCTCCATTCAATTGATTTTCACCATTGCCAGCACCATGTCCCCCGGCAATAACGATGCCCGACGTTGCCCCTTCCGGCCATCGCATGACACGATGATTAAGCCTGTCAGACACGTAGACAGTGCCCATTGTGTCAACAACAACCCCAGTTGGAGAATCGAGCTGGTTCAAATTAGTGCCATTGCCGTTGCCTCCGGCCACAATGGTGCCTTCTTTGGTACCTGGTTCCCACTTGGTAACACAATGATTCGATCGATCGACCACATAGACAGTTCGATCGGGATCCAGAAAGAGACCGATAGGATTGTTCAGTTGATTAAGATTCGTTCCTTGACCATTGCCTCCAGCAACGACAACTCCTATATCTTCACGCCACTTCATCACGCGAAATAGAACCCAGTCAACTACATAGAGTGAGCCTTCGTTGTCCAGTGCTACTCCTCGACACGAAGTGTTCGCCAAGACAGTCTCTCCGCTAGAAGCGCCCTTCTTCCAGCGCTGCACACGTCTATTCTGTCCATCGCAAACGATCAATGTTCCATTCGCGTCGACCAGAATACCAACAGGACCACCCAACTGGTGGCTCCCATTTCCCCTACCCTGCCCTCCGGCTACAATTCCCCCACTAGAAGTCCCTTTCTCCCATTTGACGACTCGGTCGAACCACCAGTCAGTTACAAATATCGACCCATCACGATAGTCAACATGCAAATAATTGGGATTCACTTGATCGAGCTGTGACCCATTACCATGGTCTCCAGCAACAGTCACACCGTTCGACGCCCATGTGGAACTCGCGCATATTCCATCTCTGGACTGGGTGTATGAGAGAGGCGAAGCTGAAAGCGAAGTTAAAGCAATTTTGGTCTGGTAGTGCAAATATAAAAACAGTAAGTAGTGGGAAATCATTGGAAATCAATCATTTTCGACAGAATCTATGCACACAAGTTTTTAAAAATTTCCTTTCCAATCGAGGACAAATTGATGAAATAATCTCTATGGGAGAGAATTCATTCGATCTCTCTCGAAGCCCATCGGAAAATTTTTCATTTGAAATTTCAATTTCGAATTAAATTTATATGTACAATGCGGAGAGCGGTTGAAATACTGCGCGTTCGTTTCGCGTGATGAGTCACCGAAAAATGACTTATAACAAGAAAGAAAAATACCCGAAAAGCATGTCAGAGGAATTTATATATATATTGCACTCTCAGCGTAGTGTGCATCCCACAGAATAGTCATATCAAAATGTAACGTACCCGAGAGGTACGTTGCAACTGGAGAGATAATTATTTCGAACATTTCCTCCAATGGAATCACCCTCGGACCTACGCAAGGAGTGAATCAGTACTTGTTTGTTGGTGACTGGTTCGAAGCACGCATTCTAAAGTTTAACAAGAATGGAACAGGTGGGGGACAAGTTGTGGTCGGAGGCAAGGGTGTAGGTAATTCCACTGAGCATCTCTCCACTCGTAAGTCTGTCCATTCGAGAATCAATCACACTGGAGTGTTTTTCTTCAGGGTTCTCTTTTCAGCGTACCAGATGCATGTCGATCAGCAAGGATCTATCTTTGTGTCCGAGTATTTAAATAATCGGGTGACAAAATGGAGTGTTACCAATAACGTTTCGGCGGCGAGGGCCGTTGTCGTTGCTGGTGGGAATAGTAACGGTAGCGGGTTGAACCAGCTCGATGGGACTCTCGCTGTGACTGTCGATCAGTCAGGCACAGTCTATGCAGCCGATTATGGAAATCATCGGATCATGCGCTGGCTGAAAGGAGCTCAAAGCGGTACTATCATTGCCGGTGGTCAAGGTCAAGGTAATCTCAGTACACAGCTCAATCATCCCTACGATTTGGCCTTTGATCGAAATGGAAATTTGTACGTCAGCGATTTTTCGAATCATCGAATTCAAATGTTCGCTATTGACAAGAGTTCGTGTAGTGGTGAGTTGTTCTAATATTCTCACTCAAAGATCTATCAGCTTATGCAGAACATAGAAATGTGTCTATATACTCGCACGCTGTGTATTTTTGTGAAATGGCAAGCGATTAATAAATTACTTTAAATGCGTACCGCTGATAACTGTAAGACAAGACCGATAGAACGGTTATGACTACAGCGAATGTATGTCAAAGAGCACGATTTTATGGAGACAGCTGTCAAGCACACTCTAGATACAACAGTATCAGCAAAGACAACTCGCTAACCACTGTAAGCGCATCTGGCCACATCTCATAGACGTCTTTTGACATCTGAACGAAGCGCGACGAATCCACCCATGCAAAATTGGATGTGTCTCCATAGAAGTCAAGCAGTTTGTTGATGTCCATAATGATTTTCGTTCAGACCGAGAGAAGTGATAGTATATGTAACTAGTACGATCTCTGATAGGAAATAACAACAGAGGCATCAGCTTGTATGTATACTTACAAAGACTTTATCCTTCTATGAGAATCACGATACTGATGTCCATGTTTCATATGATGTTAGTATCGTAGTGTATGTACAGATTCCGAGTACTTAGAATCTGTTCATGGACTAGGATAGGTTTCAGATGAAAGAAGAAAAAGTCTTCTAGTTTTAAAGAAATGTTCATTAAGCCCAAGCAAAGTGGGATCTAGCTTAAGCTAGCTAAAGAGGAACAATCAGCTAGCTCAAGCTAGGTAAATGTTCCTTTTAGCTAGCTTAAGCTAGATCCTGTTTTGCTTGGGAGGGAAAATAGCGTAAAATTAATCTGCCCGGATCAGTTTGGCTCGAAGGAAAACTCGGACACATTAAACAAATTGTGTATGTTGCAAATGAAAAGGACAAGAAATAGAAAGAACTTAATTATGCAGAAGTTGTTGTACACACTATGACGAGCCGATAAATATTCCAGATACTTAAGCAATTCACACTGATATTATACCGAAATAATCTACTATTGAATAATGATATGCTACCTGTCGTATACACCAGCTTTTATTGATTGTGTTGAACACGTTATGTAATATTATACATCAAACATACCGCGTTTATCTTTCACTTCCTTGATCTTGACTTTTCTAATATATATTATACTATATTCGCACATATATGGACTATCTATGCAGAACGTCATTTTCGATTATTTAGAAATTAGCTTTACTCCGCTCTTTATGCTAGTTTCAGTTTGTAGTACTCATACATTTTATTAAGGTAACTTGAATTTTTCCTTAATGAACATTTCTCGAAAAATAGAAGATTATTTCTTCTTTCAGTTTTTCCTTTTAAAACAGAAATAACGTTCTAAAACTGATGTCAAGATTCAACTGTGAGCGTTTGAACTTTACTTAAATAAAATGTTCACGA